GACAAAAAGACAAAAAAATAAATAAATAAAAATAAAATAAAATAAAATCCAAGGAAAGATGTGCAGTCTGAGTTAAGGATTTCTTTGGGATGAGAAACTGTTAGCACAAATTATTGGAGATTCCCAATTCCTGAGGTACAGAGCTCTCAGACAAGTGTATGTTGGCTCAGGGGGAGCTCCCACTACCAGCTCTCATCCTCCTACTTAATTCTAGACCATGGTACCCACTTAGGGGTAGAGTTATATTTACAAGGGCTTGGAGTTCCTTTACCCAGAAAGCTGCACAGAGGATCACAGACCCAGTTACCAGTAGAATGGGGAATGCCAGTGAGCACATGAGTGACAGTGAAGGGCTGTGACTGTGCTTACCACTCGTGGAACAGAAGCCAAGCTAAAACCCTAACAATGTAGTAGTATGGAAGTTAAGAGAATAGCCTCTGCACCCATATCTGGATTAAAGTCTCAGTCCAATTTCAGTGTGTTAGACAAGTTAATCTCACTAAGCCTTGGTTTCCTCATGTCTAAAATGGTAAAACCATAGCATCTACATCATGGAGTTCGTGTGAGGGTTTAATGAATCAAATTATGTAAAAGGCTCAGAATGACACTGGGCATATGGTAAGCACCCAATAAGTACTAATTAACTATTATTACTATCACTAAGGGATAAACAGGAAAAGAGAGATGAGTGGAGCATGTTTCGTGCTTTTGAGGCAAAGTAGTCACATCTCCTACTCTGTAGAAAGTGGCCCCCTGGATGTCAGTCTCTAACCAATCACATGAGTCTCTCCATCCCACCTGGGGAAGAGTAAGAGTAAGAGAACGTCGCTGTGTGATCATCCGCCCCCAACACTGTCCCTCCAGTAGGGAACAGAGAGGGATGAGTACCCCATGTTCTGTAGAAGCTGGAGGTGTTGAGAATAAGGCTCCATCGGAGCAGTAGAAGGAAGCCATACGTACTTGTATTGTGTAGAAGAATTTCCCAGAAAACTGGGGAAAAAATGGTTCCTGGACCTCACTCCAGACAAATAAAGGTAGAATCTTTAGAAATAGGGCCCAAGCAAAGGTATTTATAAAAAGCTTCCCAGGTGATTTAATTAAAAACAAAAACAAAAAAACCTAGATATTTTGGGGCTTTTTTCACCAAGGCTAAATCAAAGCATGTAATTCAATATAAGAACAACTCAGGCCAGGAAATAAGTGTAAGGAAGTCCAAATTTTCACATAAAGACTACTGTGAAAATTTTTTGGATATCTCTAATTCTTTTCTCCACCTGTCTAATCAATCACATTCTCCCACTCCCCCTCCCTTGCTGTGGCTGATGACACTGCGTCACCGTTGTGGAGGCACGTACTTAGCTTGCCTTTTAGGCTGCAGCGGTTACTTCCACTCCGCACACCTGCCAAAAGTCATCCTTATAAACACAGCAAGTAGAAGAAACATAGCCTGTGAAATTCATGCTTTGGGCTTTTGTCTGTTCTTTTCACTTGGGAGCAGCTGCTGCTGGAGAACAGGAAGGATTAGGCTGAAAAGTCAGAAGCTGCTTTCTCCTGGCAGGGCCTGGAGAAGGAAAGAGCCCTTAGATCTCTGTCCTGCAGGTCCATTCTCCCCGCGCCTCGGCAGCCTTCCGTTCTGAGGTTGGAGCTGCAGGGTCACGCTCTCGTGACCCGTGCTCGGCCCCCTCATGTCATACTCTTCCCCTCTCTCCATGTGTGCCTGCCTCCCTCTTACATAAACATGCTGGTGATTGGCACCGTCACAATTCAATACTTGGCTCACTTTCACATCAAGTAATAACACTATCCGGGAAGGTGGCTTATGTGTGCCTGCCTCCCTCTTACATAAACATGCTGGTGATTGGCACCATCACAATTCAATACTTGGCTCACTTTCACATCAAGTAATAACACTATCCGGGAAGGTGGCTTACACAAAGGAAGAAGTGTTAGGAGATCTAGGTTCAAATTAACTTCTCTCCAAGTGGCTAAAGCTCAGAGACCCTCAGACACGTGGAATTTGCTCAGAATTAGTCAGACAAAGCAGATACTTGCAACACTCCTCCCCTTCTCCTGTGTTTTACAGTGAAGACATCTGAGGGGAAAAAGTATGGGGGACATGGTGAGAGTAAATACGGTAATCTGTTCATTTGCTAGCTCAGTCGCTGGACTTGGGACTTAGGAGTGCCAAGTGGGGCTACTTACAGCGTACCTCTGACCTGGATTGAAATGTAGGTGAGAGACAAGATTGGCTCATATCTGGGGGAATTATAACCCATGACTAGGACAGGAAGAGGAAGAACTGCCTGTACTTCAGCAGGAGCCTCAGCCTCACCTTGCAAGCCAAGTGTTCACTCCTGCTAAAAGCAGAAGACTGAGCTAATGCTCCCGTCTTTCGCCAGGCTGCTTCTTCAGGTGTATTGATATTTTGAT